CCACTCCATCACAGCGCGCATGCGCCCGCCGGCAACCCTGCCCCGCCCCCGCCTCCTGGTGGCCAATGGGAGGCGCGGAAAGCTGTGACTGGGCCGCTGAGGCAGCACGCGGGCAGGACAAAATGGGCGCTGGGGAGGCGTTTGACTTCCAGTCTCAGGCTCTCTGTTCTCAGGCGGGTCCTTTCAGAGGACGCTTTTAAACAGTTTAACTTTTTGCCTGCTCAATCAGGCGATCCCGGTGTGTCTCTGCAGGGGTTTGTTACCACGGCTTTCTCACAGCGCTGCATCAGCAGGCCCCAGTCAGGGTTTCTGAGCCACAAAGCTACTTTTACCTCACTAGTTTTACCTCGGTGTAACTTCATTGCTTAACGGTCTCTTTAGATGCACCATATGAGTAAAAGGAGTAAATTTGGACTCAGGGTAGCTCTGGACGGATCGTGCCACTCTGCCTGTCCCCTAGGCTTGCATGGGTGGCTTCTACAAGGAGCCAATCTGTGCCGCTGCTGCCACAACCTCATAACTTTTATAAGCTTTTTTTTTTTTTTTTAACTCGTATCTGCTCTTTTTAAGCCTGTTATAATACTTGCTTCTTTGCTTTCATCCTCATGTTTTAGTCGTCTTTCTAAAAGGGACCATTTATCAGATGTGTGAGACTTGGCAGCAGTTGGGATCTGAAAGTGGAGTCCTGTGATGGCTTTGATTTATGAGGAACATAAAACGGAGAAAAGACTTGTTATTTTGAGAGAAACAGTTCTACTGTGCACATGGAGGAAGCAAGAGAGGCTCTGCCAGGCTGTTTCTTTGCATTGAGTATGTTCCCAGGGCCTGAGCTGCTTCTGTGAGAATGGGAGAAGAGCTTGTGACTTACAACTGGTCAGGCACAAAGGAGACAGAGGGCTGTCTCACGCTGAAAGGTGACTGCAAAATATCGCTACTTTCTGTGCCAGTTTCTTCTAGAAAAGGGAAAGAACCCCAATTTTGTACCAGGAACTAACTGCCATAGTAACCCACCGTATTGTGCCCTACAGGACTGAAAGTTTTACTTGGTAAAACTTAGTGTTTTGGTGCATGCAGATGCACGGCCACACAGCAAATACAGGATTGTATTTCCTGAAAAAAAATACAGGATTGCAAAACAAAAGACATGAGCATAGGAAGAAGAGGTAGCACAGCAGCTGCAGGCATTTTCTTCCCTGCCTTCTGCATTGTACAGCCAAACTGCCCTCTAAGTCACAGACTTCTGTGTTACGGGATTTAATTTGCTTTCTGTCAAGTGCTTGCAACTTGCTGCAAACTGCTGACTGTAATAGCTGGTACCAAGTTAATACCTGATTGTACATTAAAGACACCCAGATGCTTCCCGGTATGCATACTGAATAAATTAAATGTGAGCACTGGGCTTCCAAATGTGTTTTCCAGTCTCCTTATTGGATTTTTTTTTGTCCTTCAGCATTTTCATTATGCCAGTGCTCTCCACAATAACGTCTCTTCTAAATAGCTTTATCCCATAGGTCAACAGGTAAAAAAAAAAAATTGAAGGCAGTCTATTAAGAGAGTAATTGAGATTATAGATTTTAGAATCCTCTACTTATAAAATGTGAAAGAGGTCAAATATATGCTCCTCAATTAGACTACTGGGAAAAAGGGATATTAGGAAACCTACATGTTCTGGGTAAGAATTTTGTTTCAAGGGTATTTTCAATGTAATGCAGAATTATTTCTGCTACCACTTAATTTACATACATGTACTGAAAAACAGGGATGTAGCAGTCATTTTAATAGTGTAACGTGTTATATTTTTTACTACACCTGTTAGAATCACAGTGCTACAGGCCTGCATTAATTCTTTCCCCTTGTGAAGTAGATGGTGTTCCTTTTATAAAAGGTGAACAGTGATGCAGCAATATTGGTGCATCTCGCCAGGCATGTATAAAACTGGACATAATGGCTCCCCTGTGCTTCAGTCACTGGTCACATTTCTCATAGAATCATAGAATCGTCTAGGTTGGAAGTGACCTTAAAGATCATCTAGTCCAACCATCAACCTAACCCTGACAAGACAACAAATAAGAAATAAGCAATAAAAAAAATCACTAAACCTGAGGACCACGTCAACCCATCTGTTGAACACCTCCAGGGATGGTGCCTCAACCACTTCCCTAGGCAGCCTACTCCAATGCTGGATAACCCCTTCAGTGAAGAAATTATTCCTAATATCCAATCTAAACCTCCCCTGGCACAACTTGAGGCCATTTCCCCTTGTCCTATCTCCTGCGACCTGGGGGATGAGACCGACCCCCGCTTCTCTACACCCCCCCTTCAGGTAGTTATAGAGCACGATAAGGTCTCCCCTCAGCCTCCTCTTCTTCAGACTGAACACCCTCAGCTCCCTCAGCCTCTCCTCATAAGACTTCTTCTCCACACCTCTCACCAGCTTCATTGCCCTTCTCTGGACCCGCTCCAGCACCTCAATGTCTTTGCTGTGCTAAGGGGCCCAAAACTGGACACAGTACTCGAGGTGGGGCCTCGCCAGTGCCGAGTACAGGGGGACGATCACCTCTCGGGCTCTACTCGCCACGCTGTTCCTGATACAGGCCAGGATGCTGTTGGCCTTCTTGGCCACCTGGGCACACTGCTGGCTCATGTTCAGCCAACAGTCAACCAACACCCCCAGGTGCCTTTCCACCGGGCAGCTCCAGCCACTCTGCCCCCAGCCTGTAGCGCTGCCTGGGGTTGTTGTGACCCAAGTGCAGGACCCGGCACTTTGTCTTATTGAAACTCATCCCGTTGGTCTCAGCCCACCGATCCAGGCTGTCCAGATCCCTCTGCAAAGCCTCCCTACCCTTTCCTGGGGGAAAAGAATGATACTTGGAGGAGTTATCTACAAATTCCCAAGATAGCTGGGGGAAAAATCTGAATTATTTATTTTCAGGAACAGAATACTTTCCATACATAAAAAATATCTTGCAGTGTGAACCTGCATAAAAACACAGATTTAAAATAAACCATTTTTATTTCATGTGTTTGGAGAGGGGCTGTATGACCATGAAGTCTGCTGCTGAGGTGGCTGCAGCACATGGTGAGAAGCTCAAATAACAGTGTGGGCCTTCTGCTGTCCCAGAAAATGGCTTCTGAGAGTGGGACTGTCCGTACTGCCCTGTCACAGAGGATGTGACCATTGCCACCTGGGACGTGGCAATCCCAGGCACAAATACAGATTGGGCAGAGAATGGCTGGAGAGCAGCCCTGAGGAGAAGGACTTGGGGGTGTTGGTGGATGAGAAGCTTAGCATGAGCCAGCAATGGGCACTGGCAGCCCAGAAAGCCAACCCCATCCTGGGATGCATCAAGAGAAGTGTGGCCAGCAGGTCACGGGAGGTAATTCTGCCCCTCTACTCTGCACTCGTGAGACCCCACTTGGAGTACTGTGTCCACCTTTGGAGTCCTCAACACAGGAAGGACATGGACTTGTTGGAATGGGTCCAGCGGAGGGCCACGAAGATGATCAGAGGGATGGAGCACCTCCCCTATGAGGACAGGCTGAGGGAGCTGGGGTTGTTCAGCCTGGAGAAGAGAAGGCTCCAGGGAGATCTCATAGCAGCCTTCCAACATCTGAAGGGAGCCTACAGGAGAGCCGGAGAGGAACTCTGAGTCAGGAAGTGTAATGAAAGGTCAAGGGGTAACGGTTTCAAATTGGAAGAGGGGAGATTTAGATTAAATATTAGGAAGAAATTCTTTCCTGTGAGGGTGGTGAGACACTGGAACAGATTGCCCAGGGAGTTTGTGGATGCCCCATCCCTGGAAGTGTTCAAGGTCCAACTGGATGGGGCTTTGAGCAACCTGGTCTGGTGGGAGGTGTCCCTGCCCATGGCAGGGGGTTGGAACTGGATGATCTTTAAGGTCCCTTCCAACCCAACCCATTCTATGATTCTATGTGGATTCCATCAGCAGATGAACTACTGGGACTCTGAAATCTGGACAGATGATTAGTGAGACCAGAGTCACCTTCGTGTGCCCTGAGAGAACAGATTCCCTGTCTCGTAGGCAGGTCAAGTAGACCAGCGTGCGCAACCTGTACCTCTTACTGCCATACAGGAGCACTTGCTTCTTTCTTCATTAGAAATTCTTATCTGGCTGTCTCTTTCTCTCCCTCTCACAGGGGAAGGACGACCTTGCAGGCTTTTCTGCATCTTCAGCAGGGAAGCGCTGGTTTTATAGGTTTTCTCAGATCCAGTAATGGAACTGTACAACCACCTGACAGCTCACCCTTGTGCGGGACTTGGCGCCCTGCAAGAATTAAGTATTCTCCTTGAAAACCTCTGAAGGAAGAGCTTTAAAGAAAGCATCATATTCAGACACTAAAGTCCCAGCCCTCTAACATCTCATTAGACAGTAATGCAGTTTCCTGTTTCTTCTCTCCTCCTTGCTGATTACTGAAGTACCTGACTGAAATGAGAACTTCTCTCAGTTTGAATTGGCCTTTCTCCGCTTTCAGTATTCCTCAATGTCACCTATCACGTTATCATATGGTCTTAAATGTCTCCCTGTGGTTCTGTTTTGATTTGATCTGTGACTACTTCCCTCATGCTGTTTTATTTCTTTCAGCACCTGACACCGAATCCTGACCACCAGGAACTAATGGGCTGTCATTTTACAAAGGTTTGTGGTTCTCCAGTCTGAAAACTGCAAAGTAATTTTGTTAAATAGTTTGTGTTAAGTATGATTTTTATATGTAAGCTTCACAAACACAGATGAAGTTTCCTAACAAGGAGAAAGGGCTAATCTTTATTTTTGAGACTGACTGATCTGTGGTCAGCCCATGCAAACACAGCCTATAATAGTCTCTGCCTGAGACTGATTTGGAGATAAATTTTCTTGACGGATGTGGAAGGGTAGCTTTTGTTATTATACTCCATCACATGTAATAGAAGGCTGCAAAGCTATGTTTTGCAGTACCAAGGCAACTGTA